TGCCCAGAGAACTAAAGAGATAATAAGAATAGGGACAAGAGGTGAATAGGAGGCATTTCAACAATTCAGACAAAAGATGAGGCTCCCAGGACCAGGAGATTCACTGTAGGAAGGTAACATTCCAAGAAGGCAGCAGGACTGACTAGCTGGAGAAAATGACGGAGGAATGAGGTGAGAATGTCCTCCAGAGTTCTGGCTTGGCCTGCCAGATGATCTATGTCTGGTACCATCCACTGAACTAGGGAAAGCTTACAGGGAGATGAATAAAGGAGACCATGAATAATTGGGGGGGAATGGCAAAATTACTATTTTTTGCATGTGGGCAATATTTTAGCCAAGAATTGTATGTGTACAAGCACATGTAGAAAGTATATTCTGTCAGGAATCTCAGAAAATTATACCAGGAACCAAGAGATTAATGCTTTAGGTAACTAATAAGAACCTTATTTCAATTGTAAAAGTGAAGGTAATGAAAAAAGTGTTTAGAGGAATGTCAAGTTTCCAATATTCAGACCCCATGCACACTGAAACTGGTTTTCCATCCCTAAAGTGTCCACACAAATGTGGATCCATGGACAGGGGTATTCCACACACGTACTATATGTATACTAACTCTGAAAACTTTTAAATTTGTGAACATAGACTGTACATGTGTTCATGTGTGAATACACATACACTTTTATGTAATAAGGAAGACTCTAATCCTCAGAAGGCCTTTTATTTTTAGATATTTTATTTTGTATTTTCTCTAATTTTATTATGTTACTTGATATATTTACTGGGGAAAATTTACTGGAGAATATTAGGATTGATGGTTGATGAAGTACTAAGTAAGCAAAAAGTTCATGGGACTACAGAAAAACCAGTTTAAGAGAAAATGCAAATATAGACGAGTGACTATACTAGGAGAAGAGTTAAACTAAGCAGTTTAGAAATCAGAAAGGAAAGTAAATCCTAAAATTAGATCAAATAGAAAAAAATACATTTAAAAATGAGAGTCACAAGAAAAACAGGACCTCCTAAGAGAAAACAATAGTACACACTATTAATGTGTACTATTGAAGAAAAAATATCCACTATGAAGAGAAAAATATCCACTTCAACTCAGACATCCTGGAAAAGATCTCCTAAACAGTGTGGAGATTCCTTAAGAAGTTAAAAATAGAGCTTTCCTATCACCCTGCAATTGCACTACTGGGTATTTACCCCAAAGATACAGATGTAGTGAAAAGAAGAGCCATCTGTACCACAGTGTTCATAGCAGCAATGGCCACGGTCACCAAACTGTGGAAAGAACCAAGATGCCCTTCAACGGACGAATGGATAAGGAAGATGTGGTCCATATACACTATGGAGTATTATGCCTCCATCAGAAAGGATGAATAACCAACTTTAGTAGCAACATGGACGGGACTGGAAGAGATTATGCTGAGTGAAATAAGTCAAGCAGAGAGAGTCAATTATCATATGGTTTCACTTATTTGTGGAGCATAAGAAAAAAACAGAGGACATGGGGAAATGGAGAGGAGAAAAGAGTTGAGGGAAATTGGAGGAGGAGATGAACCATGAGAGACTATGGACTCTGAAAAATAATCTGAGCGTTTTGAAGGGGTGGGGGGCGGGAAGTTGGGTGAGGCAAGTGGTGGTTATTAAGGAGGGCACGTTTTGCATGGAGCACTGAGTGTGGTGCATAAGCAATGAATTCTGGTACACTGAAAAGAACTTTTTAAAAAAAAGCAAACTGCTTTTTTTTTTTACTTTTTTTTTTATGCCTTTACTGGCATAAAAGGACAAAGGAGACCTAGAGACTGTAATGATGACCTATTCTCCATCTTTGCTTGGGGGAGAATCCTGACAGTATGTAGGATGCAAGAGATTATAATGGCAGACAGGTAAAGTAGCATTAGTGGGTATCCTTTTAGATGCCTTAATGCTAGAAAGACCTGAAAGCTGAGGGAAGGGCACAGGACTGGCTTTCAGGCAGCACTGTCCAGAAATCTATTCAATCCCAGGGCTGGGCAGCTCTCCCTTTTTTTTCCCTTCCTTCTTTCTGGGATGTGGTCTGGCAATGAATAATGGGGTTTTATGTCAGAAGAGAGCCAGGAGTATAAACGATCATATTGTTTCTTTATATTAACAGTGCATAAGGAGATCTCTCTTGACTGATCCTAAAAGAACAAGAAATGGCAATGAAAATAATTCTAAACTAAAAGAAACATTTTCATGCCATTACCTTAAATACAACTTTATTCCTACATGGAGTTTTTCATGAGGAGTATGTGTCAACTGTACAATGAGTAATTCAGATTTCCCATATAAATTTAATTTATATATTTGGCATATAAAATAGGTAACTATAATAATGGATTACAAGATGTTTGCCAGCCAGAGAGTATCATAAAAATTAGTAGTTTATATTCTTTTAAGGGAATTAAAAATGCATGCATTTTAATGCTGCTCATCTTCTGATAGATAAAAACCATTTCCTATATTATTAATGGAAAGACAACAATATCTGCAGTCTGCCCATTACTAGCCTATTAGAAACCTGCCCTCTTGGACTCAGGGCCCCACTTATCATAGACATAAAAGCTACAACCTTAAATATTTAAGTGTGAACCAGGTCAGTATTCCTTTCAAGCTTAAACGCTTAAGGAATACCTCTATAAAATGCAGATCCAAAACAGCTTGGAGAGTAAACTGATAAGAAGTAAAGAGTTGGAGTGATACAGCCAAATACCTCTGATTGGTCCTATTCATTAGCAATTTCTTTTTTTTTTTTAACTTTCTTTTTAAATTTTTTTATTTATTTGACAGACAGAGATCACAAGGAGGCAGAGAGGCAGGCAGAGAGAGAGAGAGGAGGAAGCAGACTCCCCGCAGAGCAGAGAGCCCGATGCGGGACCCATGATCCCAGAACCCTGGGATCATGACCGGAGCCAAAGGCAGAGGCTTTAACCCACTGAGCCACCCAGGCGCCCCTCATTAGCAATTTCTAACAAAAGAAAACAATAAGGCAAGCTCCAAGGGACTATGCAGTTTTACAACTCTCTCCTTTCAGTATTAAAACCAAGACACATACAGATTTCATTTTATAAACCCCTACACTCTTCCTAGATGATTCTCAAATAAGTCATACTATTCACACTTCTATGTCCATTTATCCGTCTTACACCTTATTCCATTAATGTTCTTGGAGCTACTGGTAAACCTACTGCATTAGTGTAACTTTATTATTAGTAACTTTATTTATTAGTATAAGTTTATTTGTCCTATACTTCTACCAATATCATTAATGTTCCTCATTGTAAAGAAATGGAGAATGTTAAATTCATAACCATATATAGGGCTCAAGGCTCAAAGCTAAGGACTTCACACACACACACACACACACACACACACACACACACAATGGCTTAGAGGGAGAGAGAAGGAAACAAAGAGCAAAAGATAGAAAAAAGAGAGAAAGGGAGGGACCTGTTTGGTGGGCATTAAAATGTCCAAGATAGAAAAAACAAAGCATTCTTAAAGATTTAGTGAACTAAAACTTCAGATATTTTTATTTTTTTAAATACATATTTATATGTCTTAGCTCTCTCTTACTTCATCATGCAAGTAAATAAACAACTTTCTTATACTGCTTTAAAAACACAAGATATCTTTTACATTGATGATGGTACTTCATAAATATAGTTTTACTGCATTAACAAACCAATGTATATATTATATATTATACTGTTTCAAGTAAGAAAAACAGTCTGTTTATGTATTTATATAAATAAAACCTCAAGTGAAAACTTATATGTATTTTCTCATTAGTAACTTAAATATTTAAGAGTTATAGACTGAAAATTACAGTTTCATAAGTTTGATTATTTTCTGTTTCCTACTGACTGATCATCTTATAATTCAGTGTTATAAATGCATGTCCAGTGTGTTTTTAAATGAGATATAAATATATAGATCGATCTATCTATCTATATACACATACACACACATGTATCGAGAGAGACAGACAAAATGGCTTTCTATGTGAAGTATTTACTTAGTTGCTATTAATCACACAATCCTCCCCCAAATCTTCTTTCAAAGTTAAAAAGTATAATATATTCAGTACTGCCAGAAATTAGCCAAGAATCACTCAATTCTTTTGTCATAGTGGTGCCATTTATTTATAAATACATCTTTCCTGTGGAAAAATGTATTTAAAAAAATATATACTACACATACATGGGTAATTTACATACATATGTGAACAAAAATTTGGGGGAAAGCTGTGCTAACCAAAATAAAACATATTTTTTGATATATGTTATTTCAAGGAATTTTGACTATGTAAGAGGTGCACAGAGTATGCACCATTTCCAATTTGAGAGCAGACTCTTTTTTTCTTTTTTGGACCAGTAAGTCACTGGTGTTCCCTTGGAACAGTCTTACTAAGAACTTCCTTTAATCTCTTTTTCATAACTTTAGCCAGTAGCAAAACATATGGTAACTCACTAGCAACACTGTTAGAACTCCTTTTTTGCACCAACGTTATACATTCCAACTAATAAAATTTTAATTTATATATCATTAATGGTGGTACTTGCAAGAAAAAGATCATTTCAGTCCTCAATTCTGAAGTTGAAATAAAGGATATTCTTTTTATTTTGGCAAGGAAACTCAACATTTGACTATGAAATCCTGCAACTATTTAATAACAACTATCAGACAATCAAGCTTTTTTGCTCATTTACTTGTTAAAAGAAAAAAATGCTAACCCTGTTTTAAAAAAATACTATCCCTGCTTAAATTTGATTTCTAGCAATTTGTTTTTAATTATATCAATGAGTGTTCCAGAGTTCTCTCATTTCATTTTATGATTGCTGACTTTGAACCGAATACGTCACTTGCCAGCATGGAGAGACACAAGTAAACAGTTCAGTGAATTGTGGCTTATTCATCTGGAAGAACACAATCAGGCACAATTATGTTTCTGTTTTTGTATGGTGCAATACCTGGACATCTATACAGCTTTCTTGCCTGTGCAATATCTCCTTTGCTCAAACGGGTTCGCTGACCAATTGCAGGACGTATGCCATTATCATCACGAGAGGGGAGAATAGTATCCAGAAACATCCCCCTGAAAAAAATCAGAAGCAAGCCACACATAAGTCACTAAATTAAGTCACATACATTCCTTACAAGTATAAGATTATTTTTTTTTCAGACTCACATCAGTTAAAGGGAAAATACATCAGTGTTGAACTTCAAATAGTGTGCCAGACTTTCAAAACATGTTTATCAAAGTAGAAAAAAAATAATTGGGGTTAAATTCTATATCTAGCATAAAGTCAATGACGAAATTCACTTTTACTTAGAAATCATTTTAAAAATCTAGAATTCTCTATAGTCTCCTATCAAGTACACCATGGCTTTTGTTTTAGGCTCTTAAACAAATCTAAGAACCCCTTGGATTACTAAATTGTAAAATAATTTTCCTCATAGAAGCCTATTTTTTAAGGGCAACCTACAATACACATTTTTGAGGTTACCAAAATTATAAAAGTCAAACAAAATGTATGTTATTTTTTAGTTTAATTGTTAATTTAACCTATATATTCTTAGAAGTTCAAGTATTACAGTATGTTAAAAGAACAGGAAAAAAAAGAGTATAAATTTTAGAAAGACAGTTTTAAAGCAAAACAGTTTTTTTGATACACACACACACACACACAGACACAGAATAAAATTTTCACAGTAAAATTAAGAAAAAGAAAAAAAAAACTATCAATGGCAAAGTCCTGATAATGTTAAGCTGGAGAAACCAAGTTGTGAGATAACTAAGGTTGTGATCATCTTTCTTAATCTTCAAAACTAAAAATTTTGAATGTAATGCATTAAAGATACAGTCTTAATTTTTCAATGAATATCAACATTTATAACTCTAAATGAAGAACTGAGCTTATAAGTTAAAAGGACTGGGAACTATTCCAGTGGGAAGAAAGATAAGGATTTCAAAAAAAAAAAAAAATGAAGAAGAAGCTTTCTATAAAAGTATTTGAAATTAAGAAATAAAATTCTAAAAAATCTTTTATTTTTTTATTTTTTTTAAAGATTTTATTTATTTATTAGACACACAGAGAGAGAAATCACAAGTAGGCAGAGAGGCAGGCAGAGAGAAAGGGGGAAGCAGGCTCCGTGCTGAGCAGAGAGCCCAATGCGGAACTCGATCCCAGGACCCTGAGATCATGACCTGAGCCGAAAGCAGAGGCTTAACCCACTGAGCCACCCAGGCGCCCCTAAAAAATCTTTTAAACTAGGATGAAAGGCATGACACTCTTTCCCAAAATTTTAATGAATAAATTGTATTTAGACTACAAGTTAAAAAAACATTTCCTGGGTGCCTGGGTGGCTCAGTGGGTTAAACCTCTGCCTTCAGCTCAGGTCATGGTTTCAGGTTCCTGGGATCAAGCCTAGAATCAGACTCTCTGCACAGCAGGGAGCCTACTTCCTGCTCTTCCTCTGCCTGCCTCTCTGCCTACTTGTGATCTCTCTCTTTCTGTGTCAAATAAATAAATAAAATCTTAAAAAAAAGGAGAGAGAGAGAGAGAGAACATTTCCTTCCATTAGGAAATACTTTCTAAACACTGTTATAGGTCTGGATTTGTAGCCAGTAATAAAAGATACACTATGATTCTCACATTTTAATGTAGGGCAAGAGACATTAAACAAAAGATTGAGTACTGAGATAGTAACAGGTACTATGGAGAAAAAGAAGTGAAGATGGACATTGATTATCCATTGATGAAGTAGCTTTTAAATAGAGTGATCAAAGAAAAACTCGCTTGGAAACTGACATTTTGGCCAAACATGAAGGAAGTGAAGGTGAGGGCACTATAAGGAAATAGGAGTAGAGAATTCCAGAAAGAAAGAATAGGAAATCCAACTGCTCAGAGATGGGAGGATCCTTAAAGTGTTTGAGTGTCACACAGAGAATGTGACTTTTAGCCTAAAGAAAACTGTTACCATCTGGAAAGTGGTAAACAGAGGAGTGACATGATCTATGAGTGCTTTATGACTAACCTCTCTGGCTCCTAGGTAAGGGTAGTGATCTTTAGATAAAACCTGGATAACACAAATATAGAATGGAATTCTTTACAAATCTAAGTATCTACAGAACTCCACATGCATATTGCTTGAGATAAAGGGAGGGAGGGGGAACTAATAACTTATGGGAGTAGACCAGCAAAAGTGAGAGGTTGCCCATACTTAATAAGATGCAACTCCAACTAGGTCAATGCGATGGAAGGAGTTGAGCTATAAAATACGGCAATACTGAGAAAAGCCATTTTCAAGTCTGCTTCATAAATCAACAGATATATTAATTAGGTAAGCCCAAATTAAATGAAGGGTTACTGTGGAGGCCGAGAAAAATTAAGGCCATCCCACCTCAGGTTTATCTTTAGCATAAGTACAGCCATCTTAGCTCCGGCAGCCATCTCAGACCCCTGTGCCCAAGGGCTGACCTTTCAATAGATGGCAGTGAGGGAGCTGCTCTACTACCTATGAAACCCCGACCCAGAAGCAGGTCGTCTACAAATGGTTTAGCACCAGGTTCCCCACAAACGTGCATTGCGTGACGGGCGAGGTGGCGGCCCCCTTTCCGGCCATGCCGTTTCCCGGGATGAGGGGCTCTCCACACCCGACCCGGTCCCCACACGCGGCCCAGTCCGCCATGCCACGTGGGGTGCAGGCAGTGGTCCGCCGGTGGGGACGGCAGGGGACCAGCCATCCGAGGCCAACCGAGGTGCCGCAGCGCTGCCATATCGTTCCGCCTGGGCGGGATTCTGACTTAGAGGTGTTCAGTCATAATCCCACAGATGGTAGCTTCGCCCCATTGGCTCCTCAGCCAAGCTGCCTTGGGGGACCACGAACCCCCCTGGTGACCGCTTAAGGGGACTCTAACCCCCTGAAACAGTGGGGGACTCAAATCCCCTGGTGACTGCTTAGGGGAACTCTAACTCCCTGAAACGGCGGGGGACTTGAACCCCCTGGGGGGGCAAGGGACGTCTCCCAAGCCCCCTGGTGGACCTGCCGCCACCCGTCCGCTTGAGCCAGTGGTCGACCCAGTCGACACTGACACAAGTTGGAATTCCTACCGGTAAAAATGCAGAGTGGAGCTCCCAAAGTATGCACGCAAATAGATAAAAATGAGTGCACTCACCAGCCAGCACAAGACCCTCTGGGTTGGGGTCCTGGGAGTCTCCCAGATCTTGGTAAAACCTCCAAATGTTATACCCAAGTTTTCGCATCTGAGAGCCCCAAGGAACCAACACCGATGCACTCACACGAGGGTTTATTTGACAAGCTTAAGCTTGGGCTCAGGTATACCTGACACAGTGGAGTAGGGACTTGGACCCTGAGCTTAGTTAAGGCAGGGGTATTTCTGGGTTTCTGTTACTAAAGCAGGGTGGAGATTCCTGTTACTAAAGCAGGGTGGGGGTTTCTGGAACCAAAGCAGGGTGGGGCTTCCTGTTACTAAAGCAGGGTGGGGGTCTCTGGAACTAAAGCCGGATGGGGGTCTCTGGAACTAAAGCAGGGTAGGGGTTCTTGTTACTAAAGTAAAGTAGGGGAAAGTTCAGCCCTTGGGCACAGGGGTCTGAGATGGCTGCCGGAACTAAGAAGGCTGTTCTTATGCTAAGGCTAAACCTGAGGTGGGATGGCCTTAATTTTTCTCAGCCTCCACAGTTACCATTTCTGCAGTACTTCAGTACCAACAAATATTCATTATTTTCTAATTCTAAAAACAGAATCGTAATCTTTAAAAGGTTCATTTTTTTCCAGTGTTCAAAACAGTTCAATTTTAAAAGGTCAAGAATATCTTGACAGATATATTCAAACTCAGACAATAGAATGATGAATTTTGACTCCTCTCTACTGAGGTAACTTCTCTTCCATTCAGAAGGGGTCAATCACCCTTTATTTTGTTCTTCCTTTGTGGTCAGGAAGTTAACAATTCTCTCCCTCCACATCCAGGCCATTAAGCAATACAGACTCTTCCTGAATATCCTCAGTGAGGCACTATCAATAGTCCAGTGACAGATTACAAAGGGCTTCACTTCTAATCTTCATTTATTCTACCCACATTAGAAGAGTGAATTATCTAGGTTTCTTTAAGAAACTTTGTAAAACTTTGCAATTCTTTCATTAAAGAAAAATGGGCAATCCCAGTTAGCAAGCCTCTAGTCACAAATTACCCACGCATACAAAGGCCACATATATCTAGCCCTGTTCTTCCTAAAAGTAAGTACCTAAATCTGCTGATGGACTAAATCCATGAAGACAGCTAAAACTTTTTATAGACTCCCTGGGTTCAGAATAGAAGAAAGTATAAAACTGCAAATACTTGCATTAACAGAATGAAGAACAAAAAACACATGTTCATCTAATTAATATAGGAAAAGCATTTGACAAAATTCGAACACCTTTCATGATGAAAACCTTTTAACAAACTAGGAATAGAAGGAAACTGTCTCCACATAATAAAGACCATAAATAAAAAGCCAACAGCAAACATCATACTCAGTGCTGAAAAACTGAATGCTTTTCATCTAAGATCATGAACAAGACAGAAATCCTTGCTCTCACTGTTTCTACTCAACATAGTATTGAAAGTTGTAGCCAGAACAATTAGGCAAAGAAAAGAAGTGAAAGACATCTAAATAGGAAAGAAAGAATTAAAATCATCTCTCTTTGCATATCATGTAATCTTATATTTAGAAAACCTTAAAGAAATCACACAAAAAAGTGAGAATAAACAGATTTAACCAAGTTGTAGAATTCAAAATCAACACACAAGGGGTGCCTGGGTGGCTCAGTCAGTTAAGCATCTGCCTTCAGCTCAAGTAATGATCCCAGCGTCCTGGGACCGAGCCCAATGTGTGGCTTCCTGCTCAGTGGGAACCTGCTTCTCCCTCTCCTCCCTGCTTATGCTCTCTCTTGCTATTTCTGTCACTATCTGTCTCTCTCTCTCAAATAAGTAAATAAAAATAAAATCTTCAAAAAAAAATCAACACACAATAGCAATGAATATTCTGAAAAGGAAATTAAGAAAAACAATTCCATTTACAATAGCATTAAAAAGAATAAAGTACTTGGGAATAAACCCAATCAAAAAGGTGAAAGATTTGTACACTAAAAGCTACAAAACATTGCTGAAATTAAAGAAGACACAAATAAATGGAAAGATATTCTGTTGCTTATGGATTAGACAACCTAGTTTGTTAAGATGTCCACACTACTCAAAATGATCTCCAGGTCCAGCACAATCTCTATCAAAATCCCAATGGCATTTATCACAGAAATTTAAAAAGTCCTAAAATTCACAGGGAATCTCACATAACCTCAAACAGACAAAAATTTTTGAAAAAGAACAAAGTTAAAGGACTCACACAACCTGATTTCAAAATACATTACTAAACTAATCAAAACAGTGTGATACTGGTATAAAGACAGACCTACAGATAGATGTAATAGAAAAGGAATTTCAGAAGTAAACCCTAGTGAATATCGTAAATCATTTTCAACAAGGGTGCCAAAACTACTCAGTGGGGAAAAAACAATCTTTTCACCAAATGAGGCTGGAAAACTATATAGCCATGTGCAAAAGAATGAAGTTAGACAATTATTTTAGCTATATACAAAAATTAACTCAGAACATTTTAAGATCTAAACACAAACCCCCAAATTATAAAACTCTTACATAAAAGCAGAGGAAAAGCTTCATGACATTGGATCTGGCAATGATTTCTTGGATATGACACTGAAGCACAATTAACAAAAGCAAAAATAGGTGAGTGGAACTGTATCAAATTAAAAAGCTACTATGCAGCAAAGACAAAAAAAAATTGCTAAGTATGTATGTAAGAAGGAGATAGAATATAGACAGAAATACTACAACTCAACAACAAAGAATTAAATAATATGACTTTAAAGTGGGCAAAAGATTTGAATAGACATTTCTCCAAAGATGATACACAAATGACCAGAAAGCACATGAAAAGATGTTCAACATCATTAATCATCAGAGAATGCAAATCAAAACCACAATAAAACATCATGCCATACCCATTAGGATGGCTACTATTTGAAAAGAAAATAAAAGGAAAAGGAAAAAAAAAGAAACAGAAAATAATACATGTTAGTAAGGATATGGAATAACTGGAACACTTGTGCACTGCTGTAGGATTGTGAAATGGTACAGTAACTACAGAAAGCATCATGAAGTTTCTTCAAGAACTTAAAAATAGAACCATCATATGGCAATACCACTTCTGGGTACATATGCAAAATAACTGAAAACAGGGTCTGGAAAAGAGATTTGCATACCCATATTCATAGCAGCACTATACACAATAACCAACAAATGGAAGCAACTCAAATTCCATGAATGGATGAGTGGAAAAACAAAATATGGTCTATACCTACAAGGAAATATTATGCAGCCTTAAAACAGAAGAAAATCCTGTCACATGCTGCAACATGCATAACCTTGATGACACTGTGCTAAGTGAAACAAGCCAGGCACAAAAAGACAAATATTGTATGATTCTATTTGAAGAGGTATCTAAAGTATCTAAATCTAAATTCACAAAACACAAAGTGGAATATTAGTTACCAGGGCTGCCAAGAGGGGAAAATGGGGCACTGTTGTTTCACAGGCGGGGGCATAGGGTTTCAGCTTTGCAAGATGAAAAAGTTGTAAATATCTGTTTCACAATAATGTGAATATACTTAACATTACTAAACTGTACACTTAGAAATAGTTAAGATTATAAATTTTATGTTTTGTGTTTTTAACAATGCATGCACACACACAAAACTTCAAATACCTTGGAGGTGTTGGCTAAGAACTGTGCCAAATATTTTGTCTCCTGGAATTCAGTTATTTAAATATGCATAGAAGTTAATAAATATCCTCTTTAAAAATCAATAGGATAAAATAATGTTGGTTCGGTCAACTCTTCTAACAGGTAGGTATAAGTACTTTCACTCTAAGAATATAAGTTCATTAGGAAAACTGAATAGGATAATTTTGAAACAGTAAGACAAAATAATAGGTCAAGGCTGCTTGGCACACAGCACCATGGTGTGGGGCATGGGGATGGTGCACTGCAGGTAGCAAGGGCAGAATGATTTATAGAAAAGAAGGAAAAGAAACAATTTAAACATGTTAAAGAAATGCAGAATTAGGGGAAATATATATTTTACATTTTGGCATAGATTCATCATTTATCAAAGATAGAAAGAATGAATGATTTCCTCTACTTTCCACTACTTCCTGTGTTCCAAAGAATCAAAAGTCACTTAGTTATAAATAATCCAGTAGTATATGAGAGGTGCCTTGGCTGAACTGGGACCCAAATCCCATTTGTTATGTTTCCACAGAAAAGTCAATTCCAAGCATTGACCTAAAAATAAAATGTTATAGCTCTTTGAAATTAATTTCGGGCCAAATTTATGCATGTATTTCTACCAAAACTTAAATTCAATTTCAGAAACCATAAGTGTTTGGATGGTTATTATATTTAAGCAAGCACATATGTGTGTGTATATACATACACATACACACACATATCAATTCAGTAAAAAATAATTATTTTAAATATTGTTAATAATTATATTAAAATACAATTAACATTCAATCTTTCAAATAATACAGGTTTTTTTTTTCTTTTTAAAAAAGCATAATTGAAAAATGTATCCAGGTATTAAGAGCTCATTGACATACTTTTCTTACTTTTTATCAGGAATTTTTTTAGGGGGCTTGTTCAGTCAGTAGAGCACATGACTCTTCATCTCAGGGTTGTAGGTTCAAGCCCCACTGTGGGTATGGAGATTACTTAAAAAAATAATAATTTTTTTTAAGTTAAAAAAAAAGAGGGGGGACATTAATTTGAAATTCTTATCTTCTTTCCAATCCTGCCTTTAGAAACAGATGTTTGATGAATTGTGAAATGGCCATAAGTGGCCAAAAAGAATAAATCAGAAAGGACAAGAGTGTAAAATAGGCATAAAAATGGGAAGGGGATGACTTCAATGGTTTGAGAGATCCAAATTTCTTACCTGGGAACTATTTGCTTGATGACATCATATTTAAAACAAAGTAACTGAAATCCAAATTTATTTCATTCTTTAAAAATAGCATTCAATATTTAATGAAATGACTTTAATAAGTTGTGAAATTCTAAATTATATAAAGTAAAATTATCTTCATAATATGTTCTTTGGGAATTAAAATAGCGTAACTCACACTTGAGCAACAGAAAACACAGAGTAGAAAAACACAAGTCACATAGACAGTAGACACTCCAACTCAACAACCACGTACCCTATTTGACTTGTGAATGCCTAATTTTCATTAAATACTGCTAAGCCAATTTAATATGCTGAGTGGTTTAATAATCATTTTAGTTGGACTTTTTAAAGTGATTTAGGAATGTAAAATAGTTTAAATAATTCATACCATTTTAATTTTTACTCTAAATTTATGTATCTGATAGGAAATGTAAAAATAAGTTTTTAAAATCTCAAATGCTAGTGTTGGCCATAAATACCAATCAAATATTTCTGTACTTAATGGCAACAGCATTTGAAAACTGTTCTAGTTCTAATGTTAAACACAGCCTTGTGAGGAGCCACAGAGGAAAGGAATTAAAAGTCAAAAGGTATAACCTGAGACTCCAACCTTGAGAAGGTGTTCCTGGCATAGTGCATAATACTGTCAAAGTCGTATCTTTCTCCAAGTGAGTTCACTTCTCCAGGCTCCATCTTCAGAAAATTGTACTCTTGACCTAAGAATCAATCATAAACATTTCAGAAGCCTTCTAACATACAGAGAAAAGAAGAGAAGAACCCCTACTAGGCGTGCACCTGCTCTTGACTAAAGGCAAGGCTCCAGCCACATATGAACAGCCTGCTACATGCAAAAGTATGCATCCGGGGCTACTGTCTTCACTTCTTATCACATTGAACAAGGAATACTGAATTTGATCAGATAGTTAATTTAAAAAAAAAAAAAAAAAGCTCGATTACCAAAAGCATACTTCAGGTTGTTTTCCATGTACTTCCATTTTACATTCTTATAATATTTGTTTCTCTAAACTCTCACTGCTTTTTTCAGTACTGCGGGAATGATCATGAAAATGTTACATCTTTATCTAATCAGTCCCCACCTTTCTCTTATGACTACATTTGTCAAGATCAACACAAATCATCTTTCTATTTGCTTTAGAGTCTTTCTGTGAAACACTAAGAAAAATACGGAAGGGATATTTGTACGTACACACAACACCGCAAGCTTTAGCTCTGTGACTTTGTCACCAAAGGTAAGACACCAGCAGCAGAGTTCACTCAGAATAGAAACATGATTCCCTCTGATGAATCTGATCCAAACACTACTTGGAGGGATTTCTGATCAAGAAGAATGTGCTTCAGAACTTAACAATTTATGTATTTTCGTTTTACTTTTCACAGCCGTCATTTTAACTTCTGGACATTTTCATGTTAATGGCTTTCTCAACTGGCTGTTTATAACTGTGTTGCTATACTGTTTCTTGAAATCTGAAAATAACAGGCTTCTCTATGTAGATCTACAGCAGTGGTTCCAGAAACAGAGAATTCTCTCAAAATCCAGGCCTCAGTAACTCCATTTTCACAATCTCAGTAGCAGCTTTTATGGCTCATTTATGTAACTTCAAAAGTTTTGAAAGATCCAAATGTAAAGGTGAGTTCTCAGAATTCCGAATTCAAGGTTGCAACTCAGAATGGAACTATTACAACACTCATCTAACTAGGTTTTTATTCCAACTGCCATATGACTATGAAACATATAAATATTACATTAATGAAAAAAAATTATAAAAGATGATAAAGAAATTGAGTGATACCAGGGCATAATATCTCTGTGAGAAGGAAATCCAGTCTACTCACTTGAGCATGAAGGACTAAAGAATCATCCTCAAGTTACAGAACCCAAGTCCCAGGCTAAAGTGTTTTAGTCTCTCTTTCAATGACTTAATACATTAATGAACTAACCAGCCTGTATGGTGTAGTATGTGCTTGCCAAATCTTTGATGTATCTATGTGCATTATAACCATTTTCAGGAAAAACGCTACATTCTTGCCGACCTCTCCTAGAAGCAACTGTTACATCTTTCTTCTTCACAAGGAAGAATAAGTATATTTTAACATATCCAGTTGTAAAGTGAGATTTTCACAAAGCTGTGGAGCTGATTTTATAGACATTAACCTGTAACTCACTTCTGTAACTTCAAGCACAATACGGGAAGATACTCTCTAGTTAAAGCAAAGTGCTATATAAAAATTTCTGAAAGTGGAATGTTAAACAATTTCAGTCATAGATTTTGAGGCTTAACCTGTAGGTGACTCCGCATTTGGTGATAAATAAAACAATATGCCATACATGGTCTAAATAAAGAAAACTGAACTTATCTCATGAAAAAAAAGGGAAAAGGATCAGAGCACTAGGAGAACTTACCCTAAACAATTAAAAAAGAAAAAAGATGATAACCCTTGTCCTTGAAAGAGTATTCTAAAATGGATTAAAGATTCCTATCTATACACCGATTTTGTTCCTACTGTAGTTACTAATTTTGCATATAAATGAGAGGCTAAAGTCTACACTTATTAGACATTGCCCTTGAATAACAGTTGATCTTAAGTATCTGAGCCAGAGCAAGTCATAAATTTGTTGAAGATTAATCTCCAACATGACATGACCTCTTTCATACTAGAATTGCCCTGTGACGGTAGTTCCAAATACTTAGGAAATCTCACACAATAATTTTTTCTTTTCTATTGGCCTGAATGTTGAGTCACCCAAGGTATGAATAGCCATAATTGCTAAGAGCCATGTTAAGTATTAGATATTTATATGCTATTTATATATTTCTTGCTTCAATACATACTTATGTTAAAATGGAGTCCTATTATTAAGAGTAAGAATCATTCTTGAAAGTTACTTCCTTTATAAAATGTTTTCTCCATGTAATAAAAGGAACCTAATAACTATGGTTAACAGCAAACTCCTTCTCATTTAATTGGTAGTTGAAATCATTTTCAGAAATATTATTTCCTCTTTATTTCTTTTCTAATATAAAGTAAGATGAACTTTGATAGCTGGCTCAGGCATTTGAGTCCCCTATATTGGGAGTAAACATTTTCTGTACTTCTCTTTGATAATCAACACTACAAATGATTTCATCATTTTTTAAACTGATATATAATTGACATACAATATTATATTAGTTTTATGTGTGTAACACAGTGATTAGACACTTAGATACACTGAAAACTGATCACCACAATAAGTCTAATTACCATCTATCATCATGCAAAGTTAATAAAGCGTTGACTGAATTCCCTATGCTGTACATCACATCACCATGACTTATTTATTTTATAAGTAGAAGTTTGTACTTCTTGATCCTGTTCACCTATTTCATATTTCCCAAGTCCCCTCTCATCTGGCAACCACCACTCCATTCTTTGTATCTATGAGTCTTGGTTTTATTTCGGTTTATGTGTTTATTTAATTTGTTTTTTAGATTCCCCATAGAACTGAAATCATGTGGCATTTGTCTTTCTCTGCCCGACTTATTTCACTTAGCATAATACCCTCAAGGCAAGATTTCATTCTTCTTCATGACAGAGTAATATACGTTTTTGTGTGTGTGTGATGTCTTCTCTATCCATTCATTAATTGAGGGATACTTTGGTTGTTTTCCTACTGCCTAGAATGCTGCAATGAACATGGGGATGCATAAATCTTTTTGAATTGATGTTTTGTTTTCTTTAGATAGATATCAAGAAGTAGACTTGCTGGATCATATGGTAGTTCTATTTTTAATTTATTGAAGAACCTCCATACTGCCAGTGCCTGAGGGTTCCCTTCTCTTCACATCTTTGCCAAGACTTGTTATCTCTTGTCTTTTTAATGAAAGCCATTCTAAGTGGTGTGAGGTAATAACTCATTGTGGTTTTAATTTGCATTTCCCTGTGTTAATCATTGATGATTAATGATGTTGAGCATCTTCATGTGTCTGTTGCCCATCTGTATGTCTTCTTCAGGAAAATGTCTATTCAGAGCCTCCATCCATTTTAATCAGATTATGTTTTTGCTATTAATTTGTTTGAGTTCTTTATATATTTTAGATATTAACCTCTTATCAGAGATATGATTTGAAAATGTCTTCTCCCATTCAGCAAGTTGCCTTTCATTTCATAGTTTCTTTCATTATGCAGAAGCTTATTTAGTTTGCTGTAGATTCATTTATTTTTCCTTTTGTTACTCCTGCATTTGGAATCAGATCCAAAAAACAAAACACACCACTAAACCTAATGTCAAGCACCTTACTGCCAGTGTTTTCATCTAGGCATTTTATGGTTTCATGTCTTACATTTGTCTTTAATCCATTTTGAGTTAATTTTTGTATATACTGTAAGATAGTAGTCCAGCTTCATTCTTTTGTATATAGCTGTTCAGTTTTCCTAACACCATTGATTGAAGAGACTATCCTCTCCTCATTGTATATTTGTGCTCCTTTTGATGTACAGTAATTTCTCATATATATATATGGGTTTATTTCTGGGCTCTCTATTCTGTTCCATTGATCTATGGGTTGTTTATAAGCCAATATCATATTGTTTTGATTACAACAGTTTTATAGTATAATTTGAAATCAGGGAGAATGATACTTCTGGCTTTTTCTTTCTGAAGATTGCTTTGTATATTCAAGGTCTATTGTGATTCCACACAAATTTTAGAATTATTTGTTCTAGGTCTGTGAAAAATGTCATTAGAATTTTTTTAAAGAGTTTTTTATTATTTATTTGACAGACTGAGATCACAAGTAGGCAGAGAGGCAAGCAGAGAGTGAGAGGGAAGCATGCTCCCCAATGAGCAGAGAGCCCAATGCAGGGTCCTGGGATCATGATCTGAGCAAAAGGCAGGGGCTTTAACCCACTGAGCCACCCAGGCGCCCTTGTCATTAGAATTCTGATAGGGATTACATTGAATCTGTATATTGCTTTGGGTAGTATGGATATTTAACAATATTAATTCTTCCAATTCATGAATTTGAATATGTTTTTACTTACCTGTATTTTCTTCAGTTTCTTTCATTAGTGTCATAGTTCACAGTTTTCAGCCTACAGGTTTTTCACCTCTTTAGTTGAATTTACTCCAAGGTATTTTATACCTTTTGATGCAATTGTAAATAAGGTGTTTTCCTGATTTCTCTTTCTGATAACTTCTTATTAGTGTTAGAAACACAATATATTTTTATATATTAATTTTGTATCCATGAAATTTACTTAATTCATTTATTAGCACTAAAAATTTTTTGGTGGAGCCTTTAAGGTTTTCTACAAATAGCATCATGTCATCTATAAATAGTGATAGTTGTCCTTCCTCCTTTCCAAACTATATGCTTTTTATTTCTTTATCTGACCTAATTGTTATAGCTAGAACTTCCGATACAATTTTGAATAACAGTGGCAAAAGTGTCTTGTTCTGATCTTACAGGAAAAACTTTCAGCCTTTCACCATTAAGCATGATATTAGCTATAGAAAGGTCATATATGGTCTTTACTATCTCAAGTACATTCCCTCTATACCCACTTTGTTAAGAGTTTTTATCATAAATGGGTGTTGAGTTTCATCAATATTTTTTCTGTATCTATTGAGATGATTATAATTTCTATATTTTGTGATTATGGTATATCACATTGGTTAATTTGTGCATGTTGAGCCATCCCTGCATCCTTGGAA